AAATTGCTTAGGCCCATATCTATGAAAGGATTTATTCATCACAACACTCATCAAGACGATCCTTAACTTCTAGACATCTGCTATGAGATTCAAAAACTCATGGTAGTTTACTGTACAACAAGCAGACAGACATAAGTAAGTGTTGAGGAAGTGCTGACTGCTTGCACAGTATGTCAGATTGTGGACCATCAAAGCTGGTCAACAGTAAACTCAAACGAGGGGTGGGTAGTTAAAAGCTTCCTCTCCACAGGGTAGGTACCCACCTGCAGTCCTGTTTTAGAAGGGGTTGCTGGATTTTAGGTGTCTAAGTCACTTCAGTGGTGAAAATGTTGATGCCTGCATTCTCTCAGATGCCGAAACGGATGAGGTAGGATATTGTGGATCGTAGTTTTGATCTTGGCCAGCTAAACTCTGTGTGTTTCAGGTTTGGTACATTATTGCTAGGGTTTTCTTTCTGGGGCTAGCCATTTATAAGAACTAAGGAGAGAGCTCACAGTGTTTGAAGCTTACTCCCAGAGGGCTGTCCAGTCCTTTGCACAAGTGTAAGTGCCTTGCAAAGGCAAGCAATTATGCTCATTTATGAAGGTGAAAATATGTGCAGGTCCCATATTTAGTGGCTTGCAAGCTGTTGAACTGAGGCAGAAGGAAAAACATCAGCTCTCTGTCTGCGTACTCAGACTAATGAATCCTGTACAAAGCAGATAAATGTCAGTTGCTCAAGCTGGTGTCTGTATTTGATAAATATATACAGTTTTGGACTTGACTGGACCTGGGGACAATTCACACTCTTGCAATTCCAGCTGATTCCTCTCTCTCTCTCTCCAGCCGATCCAGCAAGTTGAGCAGGGCCAACTTTAAACCTCAGCAAAATAGATAGTTGCTTAGGGCAGCACAGCTGATGTTGGCAGCCTGCTCAGAGCCCACTCAGTAGCAGTGCCAGACCCCTGGAAAAGTGATCATGCTGTCATTGCTGCCTACTGCTGGGCAATACCTAGCAGCAGCAAACTCCGCTCCCACCACCTAAAAGTGCTACTTCCACCTCTCTGCGGCTAGCAAGTTGTGTTTTCATCCTTGGTACGGCTAAGTTCAGTTGTACCTGCACTGCCATGAACCTCAGGCCTGTTGTAGAACTGGGTGTGAACAAGCACTTTCCTCCTTCACGTCTGCCCTGTTGCTGACAGTGACATTTCCAAAGCCATAGGCCAGCAGGAACAATTATATCCTCTGGTCTGGCCTCTGGAATAATAGAGGTTACAATTTGCTCATCCATTTGCCCTTTCAGTCTAATGCATAACTTGTTGGTTTCTTAAGCTACCAGAATTAGCTTGTTAGATCATTACTGAATGAGGCTATGATAGGACCTTAGCAGATGGATTTTGGTAGGTAAAATTTGGCAAATTGCTCTAGTGATATACTCTGGCAGCAATAAGTTCTTTGTTCTCTCTTTTTTTAAAGGGCATGAAAGTAGTGAATCAGCCTTTAACTGGGTTTGTTGTCAGCATGTCACAACCATAGTGTCCTTTTAATTGTGTAGGAACCTTTAAAGTATATTATTTAGATTCAGTGCGGAATTTGAAGGAAGCATGGAATATTTTTCTAGAGTTTAGCACTGCCACTTTTTTTTTTACCTAGCTACTGCAAAGTTGTTAGGAAGCAGCTCTTCTTCGATGGCTCCGTATATAGACGAACATTAAGAAGAACAGATTTTGGCACAATAGGCAAGACTACGGTAGCAGTTCTGATGGCAGAAATGTTATTTACGTTTCAGCTGAAACCAATCATTGTGGTCTCTAGGCGTCAGTATGGGAACCAGGAGGACTAAGTTAGAATAAAGATGCTGAGTCAAGCTGGGTTAGATACTACCTGCACTTGATAACCTTGCAACTTTTGGTCCAGATGTTTGTCAGGAGAAATAGACAGGTGTGCATTTCAGTATTGTTTTGATGCATAAATATGAAGAAAGTATTGTGGGAAAACGTAGGCCCATACATTTGGTTATTTTCAAATTATGTATGCATTTTAATCCAAAAAAAAAAAAAACCAAACTCCAAGACTCAATGATTCGTACCCCAATATTTTTTTTTTTAATTAAGCAGGGAGGAGTAGTTTGACCCCTGGACTCCCATCACACATTTATGAGACAATTTTTAGCACATGTTGTGGTTTTAAAATATCTTCTGGAAAGAGAGAGATTCTTAGTTTCAGAATAAGTTAAAATCAGTTAAATTACAAGTATTTTCTAAAGTCAGAACAGAAGCTGTAATATCACCATCTGACCAAACCACAGTCATCCAAGTGTGTCATGTACTGGGGTTCAAGTTACACAAAACTGGATACTGTGCTAGAAAGAATCAGATTTTTGATGCTGTCTTCTCACTCTCCAGATTGGTATCTAAATCTGGGAGTTACTCCCACACCTCAGTCGCAGAATCTGCCTGGGATGTGGCTGTTTATTAAAGGGAAAGCTTACAGCTGCTGAATGTAAACCACTCATATCCTTGACCGCATCCAGGTGTAAAACACCAAAACACACTAAAATAAGCTTTTGCAATATGTTTTACTGCCTTCTTCAGTGTACCTAGCACATACGAAAGAGTAATAACCCTTGAAGTCTCTGTTGTTATGAAGAGAACAAATACTGTATGAGGAAGAGAAGCACAAACTTTGTTTTTTAAGAACACCTTTCCTGTGCATCAAGAAATGTTAAATCTGTTGTAATGAAATATAAGTTAAACAAAGCCCTGCTCATATGGCTGTTTACTAAATAAATGCCAGAGCAGGGGAATAGAACAAATTTGACTCACATAAGCACAACTTGAATCCTAGACTGGGATAAACATTTCAAAATTAAACCCCACTTTTAAAAATAACACAGGTTTATTGGAGCCTAAGTCTCTTTGGGGGTTTAGGCCTTTAAATAGCTCACTTTTAAATCACTAAACTTCATGAGAAGTTTAAAGATGCACTGTAGGTGAAAGAAATAAGGAAGGAAGAAGTTAAAGAATAAATCGGGAATGCGGTCTGCATGTAGGAGTGTCTCTTCCCTTCCTCTGACACGCGGAATTTCATCTGCAGTCGGTGAAGTCATAGGAATGTGGGAAGACTGAAGAGCCTTATGTGACAGTAGGAGTTCCCAGCTGATTGGCAAAGTAGCCACGGTAACTTAACTAAATCAGTAGGCAATGCAAAAAAAGCTCAGTGGTAAAGGAATTAAAATATATCAAATAAAAGAGGGGCAAGAGAAGTAAACCCCAAATCCAAAAGGTATGGAATCACTTTGGTAAGCAAGCAAGGTACCTCCCATCTGTACGGCATCTTGGCTCCTGGAAAGGTCAAGTGTTTTTACCTAATGAACAGTTAAAGGGCACAGAATAAAATGAATTAGTTGTTGCTGCATAGCATCTAGACATTCTGGGTACAAGGCCAGTGTGAACAGCGAATGGTCAAACAAAAATACTGCCTAAAATTCTGTTAGAAGAAAATTAGAATATTGCTATCTTACAGCATTCTCACATAGCTCAAACAGCATCAAGCATGGACCAGGCCAATAGTTTATAAAGGCACAGTTAGGATTTATTTGCTTAAATTTAGAGGTGTTGTGACATGCTGGGAGGTACCTCCAGCCTGCAAGGGAGGAAATTTTGCATGGTAGTTTCATTTCTTCTCCAGCCTTGACAGGTAGCTGGGAAAGATGCAGACCCTCATTTTGAAGCAGGCAGCAAAATAAAAAGTAAGGTGCAGAGAACAATTTCATCTCTTCCTGGCATCAGTCTGCAACATCTTACTCTTCAAAGTGTTACTGGCTCACTGAAATGGATTTTGTCCACCCCCTCAAGCCAATCTTCTAGCTCACATTGGTAAATTTCCAAATTTTAGGCTGAATTACGACTCTTCACGTTACTGAAGTGTTGCCTTTACATTATTTATTTCAAGGACCTAAGCTTGTTTACAAAACTTCAGGTTTTCATCTTTCAACCTGAAACTCTGCACTGAAGTCAGGCAATGAACAGGGGCAGGGTGTTGCAGGAGGGACCATCGACAAGGCTGTACAGGGAAAGCATGCCTTCAGAGAAGAGCCTCACGAAATGATACACCTCTAGCCAAGTGCTTGCCCCAGTGCTGGTCCCAGGCTGCTGGTCAGCAGGTCACAGCCCTTTATAAAGCTGCAAGCCTGACTCTGGAGCAGAAAAAGATGTAGAAAGAGGTTTTGTGCCGTTTTTGCACGGGTCTGGAATCTCTGGGATCCCCAAGACTCATTTATTGCTCCGCTATTTAAAAGAAACGAGCCTATTTCTCAATGTCCTGTGTAAGTAAAGTGGCACGTCTCTCCAAGGGGTCCATCGTCCCTCAGGCTACAAAGCACTGTCTGGGTTTCCGTACATAACCCAAAGGAGTATGCAGTGCTGAATTTCCTGTTAAGTCTCCCCACTGGTGTTAACTAGGTCTTAGCCACTTCTTCCTTTGGGAAGAACAGTGGTCACCTTGCCTCCTTTGTTACCTGGGTAGGGTACTTAATACAGGAATTTCACAGCTTCTTCCGGGATAAACAGACCTTGATGCATTTACTCCGTTCAGTAGGATTTTACACTAAATGTTTGATTCATTAGTAACTTCGGAGCAGTATTCCACAGCTGCTAACAAGGAGATTTTCTGTTTGGAAGGTGGAGACCGGATTTCAACATCCTTTTTCCAGATTGTCTACGAGACTCTCAGCAACACGCTTTGAACCGTGTTTTCTTTCCTGAAACTGCAGGGGAGAGGGCCTAGATGCGTGGGGGACTGCACAGAAAATGTGTAGAATATGCTGAAATGTTCACGTACCGCAGTAACGAGGTCATATATTTACCTAAGGTGATATATTAATTTAAGTATCTATTAGACCTCATTTTTCAGGACATGACTTCCACGGTTTAATTTAATATTCATTTACATTTGGCAGCCCTAATGATTATATGGGTCAAGAAAACTAAAATATCTTTTTTTCTCTGTTTTCTCCGTAGAATACGCTCGGTTTGAGGCAAAAATCCATGACCTGCGTGAGCAGATGATGAATCACAGCATGAGTTCTGGGTCCGGCTCCCTGAGAACTAATCAGAAGAGGTCACTGTATGTCAGGTGAGCAGGGAGAGCTTGCTCCTGGGAATATGTCAGCCGTTACCTCTCTCTTTTTGGTTGTTGCTTTGTGGGTTCGGCATGGTGAAAGTAATTTGAGGAACTGAACTTGAATTGAGAAATGCGTCAAACTTACGAGTGCAGTAGCATTAATATGAATATTAGATAAAACCCTATTGCTTAATCCTATCATTTCAAGGCAGTTTTCAAATAGTATTATACTTTTGATAGTGATTTGTTTTTATGAGATAATGATTTCTTACCAGCTGTCAGCTCATCGAATATCTGTGATAGATATTGTGGTGCAGTGATGCATTGCATGTCTGTGCAAGGCCTTACCCGGACTATAATAATTGTACTTATAAATAACATTTTCTTACAAAGCAAGGAATAACTGCTATATGCTGTTCTAAATGCATGGTAATCTGTTGCTGTGCCCTTGCATATGTGCAGCCCTTATGTGGGTAAAAACATGACTTACAGTCCACGCTACCAAGAATTTACCATCCATCTGGCAACACCAAATATGTAGATGAGACACCGAACGAGATGATGCAGATGGCTTAAACGGGATAGTGAATAACACAGGAAGTGCATAACTCTGAGCCACGCAGCCGCAGCGGTTATAGTTTTACTTTGACTGTGTAAATCTATTGCAGTAGTCATTGCTGGCCAAAAGGCTGGGAGTTGCGTGTTGCCCCTTGTAAAGTTCATGCTGTCAGTCACGTGTTTTGGAAGTCCAGGCAAGCATGGGACTCCATGCCAAATATTTTAGTAATCTTAATAATTATGCTTCTCTAGGCTTTTCATTTTTTTCCCCTCATGCTCAGCATATAATTTGAAATTCTTAGCAATCATGAAGTAGAGAGAAGCAATTTGTCAGCCTCCAGGCAGTGATAATTATTCATGGGGGAGCTAATTCAGGTGATAACATTGCAGAGATCCAATTAAGGCTAAGTTCTACATTTTGTCATTATGCCCTCAGCATGAGGGGATAAGGTAGCACAGAAGGAAAGAAGCACTTAAATGTTGGCAGCGACGGTCTTATTCTAGTGGACAGCAACCGTATTAGACACTAATTGGTATTGCCGCCACAAAGGGCAAGGACTGAAAGGTTATGGATCACTGTTACCCGTAAAAGTGCTATTGCGCCAGACTGGTCTGGAAACGTCATGGGTTTCGATATACCTCTCACTTTCTCTGGCCTCTGTGACTGTGTGTCTGCTTCTGGAGCTGTTCCACCTGCTGTAGGTTTATTTCCAGAACAAAGGCTGTACAACTGTAATCAAGAGCGTTGGTCAACTTTCTGAAATTGCATTTTAAGAAAAACTAGTCATGGGACGTGTGGAGGCAGATCCAAGCTTACTTTGCTTGAGGTAAGCCAGGAGCCCGAAATGTGGGACCGGAATGGTGCAAGGCCAAGCCAGCAAACCATGAGTCAACACAAGTCTACACACAAGAGCGTCTAATGCAGTGTCCTGTGCCAACTCACTAACTTGAGCTACAGCAGAGCTCAATTTACCCCCTCTCAGCATTAGTCTGTAAGCCCTGCTGAGGACCAAGGCTTCTGAGCTTGCATACTGAGCCAAGCTAATATATCTGTGCTGCCTCTGGACTAGCCTGGTTCTTCTATATGTTATTGCTCTGTGCATACTGATAAGCTTGGTTTACTGCTAGTTCATGAATTCTTAACATGGTCTGTCTCACGAGGCTGATATGCCTGGGTGATTCACTGCAGGAACCTTTCATGTCTTAGGTACATATCTAAATATCACTTCCCAAACCATAAATGCAAAATCTGTTCTTTTATTCCACAATTATTCCAAAATACGCCGCAAACCTCTCAAACAGAAAACCACAAATACCTCAATCATTTCTATTAGCATGAATATGTGCAGCCAAGCCCACAAAGTTGGCCGTGTCCAACTCTACACGAAGCCTACTTGAGAAGCTTTATATTTTGCATATTATAATATGCTTGTAGTTTGGCAGTGCCCGGAGCATTGTGTTAGACACTGTTAGTTCAAATCATATGCATTAATTACAAAGGTAACTTATGTCTACATTAGGCACCATGGAGAAAATAAATGTGGATTGGGAAATGTACTTGTTCTCTGAGATGTACATTTTCAGGGCACTTTAAGGATAAAATCTTTTCTGCCAGGGACACGTGTAAGAAGTTCTGGGATTTAAGATTGTTTTGATATTCTTACAACTCAGGACATCTCTATTCCAATGGATTAATTTGACCAGCAACTGCAAGAGAACTAGAGGCAAATTACCATATGTAACAAATCTGTAGCTGTGATGCCAAGTTTGTGATTCAAACTTGCTATTTTGCTTTCTTTGGAATGTTGTGATTCTGCTGTCCTTCACTGAATACAAGCACATTTATTTTTTAGCCAGAGAGATTAATTAGAGTAAATATCTGTATTCTAGACAGTACAAAGAAAAATAAAATTAAGTTCCATATAAGTTGTAAAAATTAAAAATCAGTGTTAACATCTGCTCATAGAAAAGGCAACAGAAAAATGACTGAAAAAAAACAAAGCTCTGTGAATGGGTCCGACAGTGAGTATCATCACCAAGTGCAGGGTTTTCTTCCTTATGCTGCAACCTGTGATTTTTCCCCACTCCCAAGGACTTCTGGTTTTCACTGGGCTGTAGGATTTTGCCTCTGTTGTGAGAAATTCCATCTCAGCCAGCATCAGTCTTGTTCATCTGCTGCTGTTTCAGAAAAACCTCTTCAGAAAGGTGGCATGTCCTTGAAACTTCTTGTAGATCCTGCATTTTATTTGCCTCCTGTCTGCTGTGCGGAAAGCTTGTTCGCGGCGTATATTTCCCTTAATTCTTAATGCGTAGTGTAGAGTATATACATCTATATACATCTAAGCTATTCACCCCAGGGCTCCCTTCAAAGCCAATGGACACAGAAAAAGATATTTCCAGGGAAGGAATCTGCCTGGATGCTATTCATCTAACTTATTTTAGACATCTTATTTTAACATCTAGCTAATTCATCTAATTTAGTTCAGATATCTGCACTGAGATTATTTTCTCCATAGTGTCTGTTTCTACATCTGTATCTAGGGGGCAGTCTATCCCCCTATTATAATAGCATAGCATTTTTAACTGAGATTATAAGTTATATTAAATGAAGTGAGGTAAAATTTAATATGGACATAATGGGTTAAATGTAGGGCTAGAAATAGCTGGCTGAAAGCTATTAAAATTCACACTTAAACAGTGTATATATACTGCAGGAAAACTATGGAGAAGAACTTATTCAGAAGAAACTGTGCAACTCTTTGACATGATTTCTTCTTTGTGTATATTTTGTACTTTGTTTCTGACTTTATGTTTCTGTGCTTTGTATTTCTGACTCTTTTCCATTTTTTCTTCGATTCTTTATCCCAGTCTATCTTCAGACTTCCTGATATCTACTGGAAAATTTTTCAGGAATTTCTTTAAATGTTTTCAGTAACATTTCTTGTTATTATCTGTTCCTTTTGTGCTAGAGACCTTATGTCTCTGGGATATAATCAGAATGTCCAGGGCACTAAAGGCATTTGAAGTGTGAAGAGACTTCAGAGAAGGACTGAGCAGTAGGACGTGCTGCTAACTTGTTTGGGAAGCTGAACCCTCTTTGTCTCTAAATCTATTCAATGAGGAAAAGAAAACCAGAAATGCAAGCAGAAAGTGAGAGAATGAATGTGAAACATAGCAAATTTTATCATTTATAATTAATTTTTTGGCATAGCTGAGTGAATAAATTTTGGATTCATTAACTGAAATTAGAGGCTTAAAAATTTCCACTATTATGTTTTCTGTAATGCATTGGAGTTTAGTTGTCAGCTCATTAGGGAGAACGGTAAACAAACTTATCACCAGCTAAATGCTGTGCTATGTAAATATAGCTTCTTTAGCGCTTCATATCGAAATTCATATCTTCTTTTTGCCTTTTCGGCTCAAAGTTTTAAAATCTGTAAAATCTATAAAATTATTTGTTTCATTGGTTTTAAACAGATACATACTTTGCTTTGTCCTTCTAGGCCCCGGTCCATAGCCAACATATGCTGACTATGCAAGGTCATGTTATTTAACCCAAAGGCTATATAGCACATGGCAGCTCTTCAAAGAGTTAAGCATTAGGGAAGTACAATCCTTTACAACACCAAGTTTGGTGAAAGCAAGCCAGCTATTGAAACAGTCAAGCTTTGAAGGAAGCTGGGAGCTTAGACAGGTTAAAGGGTTTCTGCTGTTATTGTACTAGATTCCCCCTGAACTTAAAAGTATTTACACTAGATTTCTGAGGGTAAAAGTAGATTAGTAGCTCGTGCTTTGTTGCTGCGAAAAAGTTTTTGAGGCATCATCTAAAATCCAAGAACTGCCTTTTAAATGTTCTTTTGTGTCATTTCCAGATGAAAAATAAGTAGATAAGCTTAGGATAAACAGTGTTAATGTTACAAGAGGCAACGGGCAGAAACTGAAACATAGGAAGTTCCATCTGAACCTGAGGAACAACTTCTTCACTGTGAGGGTGACAGAGCACTGGAACAGGTTGCCCAGAGAGGTGGTGGAGTCTTCTTCCCTGGAGATATTCAAAACCCGTCTGGACGTGATCCTGGGAAATATACTCTAGAGGACCGTGCTTGAGCAAGGGGGTTGGACTGGATGATCTCCAGAGGTCCCTTCCAACCTTGACCATTCTGTGATTCTGTGATTCACACCAGGCAGCTTCTGAAATAATGTCTATAATTGAAAATTCCAGTGCATAGGAGCAGGTAGTCTGGGTGTCTTTAACTCTGGAGTAGCTACACGAAAGCTATATAGACACACCAGTCCTTTCTTTTTTTTCTCACTGCTTTAAATCTGATACCATCAGCGGCCAGAAATCATTGCACCTAATCACAGCTATTTGTTGCCCTATATAAAGAGACTAGTTGAGCTTACTGAAATGCAAATATTTCAACTGCTGCACTACTTTCAAATATATTGACGTA